GTGAATCTAAAAGCCAAGTGAACAAAAAATCTGATGAACAGAATAAACTGGTGAAAATAATAGAATCAGGGGCAAAGAAAGGGAGTGAACTGACAATCCTCAGGGGGAAGGGGGTGTGGGAAGAGACTGGACAAAAATCATACACCAATGGATGATATGGGGCGGGGGGGGGGGTGGTGAGGGGGGGAGTAAGGGCATGGGGGTGCTGGGGAACCAGGTGGAGGGGAGATATGGGGGGAAAAGAGGAACAACTGTAATAATCTGAACAATAAAGATTTAAATAAATACATAAATACAAAAAAAAGTGAGAGGGACGAAGGGAAGGAAAGATGAGAGAAAAACATCGATTGGTTGCCTCCAATACTAGTCTGTCCAGGGATTGAACCTGCAATCTTTTGGTGTACGGGACAACGCACCAATCAACTGAACCACCCAGCCAGGGCTGCAATGGAATGTGTATATGCAGGCAAATACAGGGGGAAAGAATTCTATTTTGTACCTAACATGAATTTGAATCACTCTGCCAAGTGACATCAGAAGTCAGTCACTTAGCTGGTCAACAGCCCAACATCTTCATCTCAATAGCAGTATTTATAAATTTGGCAATTCTTTTAAGTCTCTTTAGACTTCTCCCATTTACTTTATTGTGTGGCTAGCACTTCACTAGTCTAAACCATACACCACTGCCCTTCACCTTCATTACACAGTCCATTTCAGATACTCAAATCAAGTCAGCCAGTTTTTATTTCCCCAACTCCTAAACATCCTATCTTAATATTGATTCAAATTCTGAACATATACAAATTTTCTAATAAATAAATATATTTGCTACATATTTGTGATCTAGTGGGGAAAATTATTTATATTCATGTGACATTAAAAATAAAAAGAAGTGGTCAAAACCACTACTTGACTCTACCTTAAGAGTTCGCATTTCTTCTGTTCAGTAACGTGCACATCACTGACCTTGGGCTTCACTTTTGTGACTGGATCAGCCCATGCTAAGGGAGTGCTACCAAGGGAAGTCCAGTCTGGGCTAGGCCCAAAGATTTAAGAAGGGTTCTATAAACCATTTCTCTGCTAAAACCTGCTCTTTATCTGATCCCAAGCTTGCATCATGGTTTAGACCAAAAACAGGTACTCTATCCTAAAACTACCTTTCTTTCCTACTAAGTTTGTACATCCTTTAGAGGTCAAATAGCATTTTGAGATTGTAGACTCTGGAGCCTAATCTTGAATTCCAGTTCTTCCAGTTTTAGCCATAGGACTTATATGCTTCACTTTTCCCAGGAGTACCCAACTCATAGACTGCAGGGAGGATGAGTTAATACTGTGATTGAAGAGTTTAGGATTAAATAATTTAGACTAAGTTCTGATATATGAAGCAACCAATAAATGAAAGCAATTTTTTTATCCTTATTTTAAATTAATTTTAAATTAAATTAAAAAAAAAAAAAAAGAAAACGTTACATTCAATTCAGAATGTGATTGAGCCCACTCCTCCTAATTCCAAAAATGATCTGGTGCTTAGCTTGAGCTCCATCTGGTGGTTTTACAGCAAATTCCCTGGAAAATATGGGTCTGATAAAAAGAAGAGAAATTTTCGAAAAAATATTTTACTCATTTAAAAGATTTAATGACATTGCTACATATTAAAAAAAAAAATTTAAATCCTCACCTGAGGGCATGTTTTCATTGATTATTTTTTTAGAGAGAGAGGGAGAAACATCCATGCAAGAGAAACATCAATTGGTTGTGCCCTGTATGTGCCCCGACCAGGGATGGAATCCATAACCTATGAATATGTGCTGACCAGGAATCCAACCTACATTTTTGGTATACAAGACAATGCTCCAACCATCTGAGCCACCCGGTTGGAGCTATACTTCTTAATTATAATATTTAAATATAAAGCAACAAAAAAGTGATCATACCCTATACTCATTTTTGAATGCCAGTCTAAATTTTCTGCCAAAATTTGGAGGGGGTAAATCTTGCTGGCAGTGCAATCCACCAACTCAGTGCTTTAGTGACCCATCTCAACCTAGTGCAAGACAATTTCTTTTTAATATCCTTTCCAGAAGCTATAGGACACTTAAGGACATGTTTCTCAAATAAGTTATTGACAATGGTGTTCGATTTTTTATTTTGTTAACTTGTTAAATCCTGACTGCACAAACTTCAGGACTGGACAAAATTAAGTGAACATACCTACATCATTATGAGGCCCTGGATGAATGCTCAAAGCAACTACCACTGGAGTCAAATCAGAAGTTATCAGCAACAGAAAACATATCTTGGGCACTGGACTCTTGGACAGAATCCAGTAAAACAATACCTGACAATGTTACCAAAATATAAATAAGCACTAAATGGGTAACATTACTGATACAGACCATTCCTAACAGAAAAGGTAAACAGTTTAGCTAGTATATTTAGGATGTTAGCAACTTTTTATTTCATGAATAAATATTTACCTTTTCCTCACCAACTCTATTTGTTGTTCATAACTATACCAAAAGGCAAAAAAAGGCCATTAATGACATTTATTTTCCAACTCACTTTTTTCCCCCCTCTAAATATATTTTTATTGATTTCAGAGAGAGAGAAGGAAACATCGATGAGAGAGATTGATTGGCTGCTTCCTACACAAACCCTACTGGGGATCAAGCCCACAACCTGGGTATGTGCCCTTTACTGGAATCAAACCCAGGACCCTTCTGTCTGCAAGCCGATGTTCTATACATTGAGCCAAACTGGCTAGGGCTCAAATCTATTAGATTCTTTGAGAAAACTTATTTTAAGTATTTAAAAATTATCCACTAACTTCTTGGTGAACTAACACTGAGTAAATTGAGAAAAGTCTATTATGTAAAATAATTTTTAAGATTTTACTGGCAGTTTTACAGATTCAAAACTCCTAAAAGATTTGAGTCGTGTCCTATTCATCTCTATACTAGAGATCTGTAGTGCGTGAACTATGTGCACTAGGGATGGAGGGTGGGGGAGAGGCGAGTCCCTCAACCCAGCCTGCACCCTCTCCAATCTGATACCCCTCGGACAGCCCTCTCACAATCCCGGACTGTTGGCTCCCAACCGCTCACCTGCCTGCCTGCCTGACTGCCCCTAACTGCCCTCCCCAGCCGGCCTGGTTGCCCCTGCCATCTCCTGCAGGCCCAGTTGTCCCAAACTGCCCTCCCTCCCTGCCAGCCTGGTCATCCCAAATTGCCCTCCCATGTTGGCCCAGTCACCCCAACAGCCCTCCCCTGCTGGCCTGGTCACTCTCAACTGCCCTCTCCTGCCAGCCATCTTGTGGTGGCCAGCTTTTGACCACACGGAGGCGGCCATTTGTGCGAGGGTATTTATGGTGAATTTGCATATTACCTCTTTATTATGTAAGATTGTTCCCAACCTAGCAGTTTGCCTGGCATAAAATTTTGTCTCCAGATGACTAAGAGACTTTATTCTAATAGATTTCAATTTTAATTTAGTTTTCTTCTGAAGTTAACAGCCGCCTCTGAGTAGACATCCATAAAGGCAGACACCTTGTGTTGCACCCTGTGCCCCTAACACCTGGAAAAGACGCTGGCACACACTAGGCACTCAAATATTTGTTGTTCCAGTGAATATATGGTGATGGTTAATATATTTACAGTGAAATTTCAGAGGGAACACTAAGGTTATTTTATTTTTTTGTTAATCTTCACCTGAAGATATTTTTTCTATTGCTTTTCAAAGAGCATGGAAAGAAGGTAGAGGGGGGAAGAGACAAAGAAACATTGATGTGAGAAACACATTGACTGGTTGCCTCCCACATCCACCATGACTGGCCAGGGCTTGGTGAATGCTAAGTTTAAATAGCTTAACTAAAAGTAAACTTAGCCCTGGCCAGTGTTGGTCAGCAGTTAGAGCATGGGCCTGTGCACCAAGGGTTATGGGTTTGATTCCAGTCATGAGCATATACCTACGTTGCAGGTTCAATCTCCATGTGGGAGGCAACCAATTATATGTCTCTCATATCAATGTTTCTTTCTCTCTCCCCCCTCCCTCCCTTCCACTCTCTCTAAAAATCAATAGAAAAAATATCCTGGGGTGAGAACACAACTAAAAATAAAAAATAAGAGTAAACTTAAATAAGAGTGAAATTAGTAAACTGTAGCAAGACAGAGCCAACAAAAATAATTTCATTATACAAACATTTCCAACAGTATATTCTATTCTTCTGAATACTAGTTTCAACAAGTCAAAGCTAAACAAGTTTCTTTATCGCTAGATCTCTACAAAATAATACTGAGCAAATACTTTCCATGTATCTTCAAGCATGTAGCACTTCCAAAACTGATGTGACTATAAAATGTATTTTTTTCACCACACATCTGGAAAAATAGATCCTGAAAAACATAGTCTTGGAAATGTTGCATTATATTAGGCTACATAATATAAAAACTGATAAACATTCAGCTAGTTCCCATAGTCCATGTTAATAATCTATCTAAAAATTTAAAAAAAGAATCTGGACTTTTCCACTACAATATCTTAAGGATACATGAAAGAAAAGATATTCACAATCTAAACAAAATACCTTTTATTATGAATTATACAAATTCAAAACTCCAAATAAGTACTTCTCATAAGATCCACTGACATTACATTTTAAAATAACACTAATTAGTCTTCTTTAATCTGAGTTAGTATATCACTTATCTTTACTAAAACCAAAAACCACAACCACATTAATATTTGATAGAATTTTGATGTCTGATAATCCAATCCCTGTATATCAGATAGCATTCAACTGAAATGTAAGTACAGCTTTCATTCATAGAAGGAAATATTTTATTCAAATTCCTAAAACAAATTTGAGATGTTATGTTGGGTTTGAAAAAAAAAGGCCCAGTTAAAAAACGAAAGCAAGGTTTTCATTTGATAGAAGCTGAAACAGGTGTATACATTCTGATCAAAGATCTGTCCCATGGGGCACTTTTCAAGATTTCAAAAGTCTACCAGGCCAAACCCTTAGCCGCCTTCGCTCCTTTTGCTTTGCTTTTCCCCTTTGCTTTTTCTCGCTTTGCCTTCAGCCTTTTTCTTTGCCTCTGGTTCATCCATATGGGATACTGTCCATGCTGGTCTAGAAGACTCTTTTTGTTCCTCTTAATGTCAGTCTCCATTTTCATGTCATCTGAATTAAAAAAAAATGGAAAAGTTGTTAATACTCACGAATGAAAAATCAACCCTGTATAAAAGCATTTTAATGCAGTGAGAACATCAATAGTGAATGTGGTCTGAAACTACAAAAGAAAACAAATCCCTCATTTGACCAACTCTAAAACCTCTAACACTTTCAATGGAGTCACACACATGCTGCCAAGTGTTTCTACAATTGTGAAGAAAAAGTATTTGGGAGGAAAGAGACATCACTTTTTTAGTCACTAAAAAACTTTCTAAAGAATGTTGTCATGACTGTCCTTCTTTAGAATAGTAAAAGTTAAACAGGAACCATTTAGGATGTATGAATTTGAGTTACTGCGTTAGGGGCTAGTATATGGTTCTGAGTGAGTTACAAGAACATTTCTTAAATTAAGTGCCTTCTTGAGCTTAATAAGACAGCTGTGCCATTAAGAAGTGTACCCTCACTTCTAATAGACAGGCCTCAGAAGTAAATGAGCTGATTCAAAATGAATGGCCACTTCTAATGCTGTGAAGTAGAAAGAGGAGTAGCAGTAAGCAGCAGGCTTTAGATGACAGAGATGGAGAGAAAATAGAGAATGACTGGATTATTTCGGGACTACCACACTTTTCTATCCAGATAACACGCGGAAATCCAGCTCTACTAACAGGAGACTTGGCAGGAAGCTCAGTGCAACCATGCTGTGATACATCCACCACCAACCTTTCTTACTGTGAAGGACATGACCAGAATGGCCCTCCCTGAGAACTGACCAAGGTATACAAGGTCTTCCATGATTTCTACCTCCTGACATTCACTTATCTGGTTTACTTTCTTTCGCCTCTAAAACAATGGCAAGTATACTAGAATAGAGGCCTTTTCTCTAATATTCATTGTTTCCATAGTACTTTGAATAACTAGTTGATGAATGATTATTTTAAGTGCTATTCTAGGTCTAGGGACATAGTGGTCCAAATAACCTCCTTGCTCTCATAGAGTTTACAATGTTCTTTTGAGAGGAGAATAACAGAGCAAACTTGAACCTGTGGTAAGCAGTTTTTTACAGAGAGGTTCTGTACCTCTCTCTACTAACATCAGATTTAGTAAGACATGGTGGACTCTGCTAAGAACATGAAAAGACATGTGGTGTTTTAAGCATGAAAATAAAACTTGATTTATATTCTAAAAAGATCACACTTAGATAGGCTGAATGAATCAGAAGAGAACAAGAGCTGAAGAGAGAAGTAAAAAGGTTACTATCATAGTTCAGTTGAGAGATAGTGATCATTTAAAGTGAAAGCATAAATGAGAAGAATGAATAGGTTCCTGTTGTATTTTGAAGATACTCAAGATGTGCTAGTTGTTTAGATGTGGGAGAAAAAGGAAAGAGGGATCAAGGGTAAAGATTTGTGGCTTAAGAAATTAAGTGGGTAAATGAAAGAGTGGAAGGGGAAACATGAACCTGAAAGCAGAGATGAGGAATCATATTGAAAACAGGTTGATTACTAAATGGGGAGACATTGTGAAGAATGGGAAAGGAAATGTCTAGGATTAGAAAGTTAAGGAATGCTTCTCTTTTCCTTGACCACTGTACACCACATAAATACACTCTATTTTGACCTTAGGTATTGTGAGTGCTTAATTTAATTTGTTGTCAAAGTAGTATATTAACCATGTGAAAACCAATGTATCGAAACTATAATACACAGCCTCCAATTTTAGACTATGATGAAGACAAAGAGGTCTCTAAAATTTGTCAAAATCAAATACAGGGAAACTTTATGAATTTTCAGGATAATATAAATGCAGAGGACTCTTAGGATGGGAACTAGTTCTTGCAAAGGGTGAAATGAAGAAAGATCTCCTTTTGTCCTGCCTCGTCCCTGTCTGAACTGTGTACCTTCCAATGAGGATGTCTAGGTTTGCCTACGCCTATACCACTGTCTATTTCTGAGACATTTGGGCTATTGTATAAACATCAAGGCCCATTCTGCATATCCCCAAATGTGCCTATTCATATGAACTTGCTATAAAATAGTTTAGTATCAAATCTCTAGCAGCACTATAAGCTTTCAAAGAATAATGTGGGCATGGCAGGAGGTTTGTAGCAATGCATGTATAGTAGAGAATGGAAGACAGGAAAAAAGGACAAAAGAAAAAAAGTCATAAAAGAAAACTGGCAGAATTTTTTTTTTTTTTTTAAACTCACCTTTGTCATCTTTCACCACACACTGGGTTTTCTCTTCAGAATGTTTGGGGACCACCACAGTTGCTATCTCATGAACATCTTTCATTAAAACATCAGTATCTGCTTTAAGAATACTTTTAAGTCTGTTAAGCTCCTTTGGGGCATTCTTTTTTCTCTTTTCAGCACGCATCTTCCTTTTCCACTTACTCCGTAAGCTTTTAGCCATATTTTATCTGGAAAGTGAACAAAGATACATATTAAAAAAGTAAATATGTACCATCAAAAAGGGGAAAATGCTGGGAAAACCAAATCAAAAGGTATCTCTACATAATATAAACAAATGGAAGGTAAAACTCTTTACTCTGTTGGATTTACGATGGCTTAATGTGCAACTTATGTGAGGATCAACATGGCCATTTACAGCCACTGAATAATTAAGAACACCAAATCAAACTCGCCTTGGTCACTACCTATATGGCAAGCCAATTCTGAAAGTTGCTGGAGTTTCCACACAAGATGCAAAAATTTAATTTCCTCCAAAAAGCAAAGAGCATCATCACCTTACATTTAAGTAACAACTTACAAATCACAAAAAACTTTTATAAATATCTCTTTTAGCCAAAATCAGTTTGGCTTAGTGGTAGAGCGTCGGTCTGCGGACTGAAAGGTCCCAGATTCGATTCCGGTCAAGGGCATGTACATTGGTTGAGGGCACATTCCTGGTAGGGGGTGTGCAAGAGGCAGCTGGTCGATGTTTCTCTCTTATTGACGTTTCTAGCTCTTTACCTCTCTCCCTTCCTCTCTGTAAAAAAAAAAAATCAATAAAATATATTTTAAAAATAAATAAATAAATATCTCTTTTAACTGAATTTTTATTTCACTCAATCCTATAGGACACCCATCCAAGTCGTCACTATCCACCCCTTAAAGTCAATCTAGCTATCTTAAAGTTGTCCAATTCCACTGTTGCTTTCTCTCCATCCCTATTCCTAGCCCTAAATCCTTCACATAGTGGTTAGTGAGCATTTAAAAACTTAGAGCAACCCTGGTCAGTGTGGCTCAAATAGCTGGAGCAACACCCAAAAGGTGGTGGGTTTGAGTCCTAGTCAGGGCACATATCCATTAGATTTGACCTCTTGTTGGGGTGTATGCAGGAGGCAACCAATCAAAGTTTCTCTCTCACACTGATGTTTCTCTCCCGACCCCTTCTTCTCTAAAATCAAATAAAAATAAAATTAAAAACACACACACAACTTAGAGCACATGATTGCCTTTCCTTAATGACTCTACCTCCTATCTTCAAGATCTACAAGGTTATTTGTGACCTGACTCCTGCTTCCTTCAACTCTCTCTCCTTATGTTCCTTTTCACCCCCAATTGCATCTGAAAAAAAGCCCAATTGGTGACAGTGGGGATATGATGAGAGATAGGAAGGAAATGATTTATAAAGAGTTTTTAAGGATAGTTTTGTGAGTGATTTATAACATCATCTTAATTGTGCTGGACTTATATTTGCATACACATATCAAAGGTTATAATACACACTTTAAACATATGAAGTTTATTGTGTTAATTATACACCCATAATACAGTTATATAAATCATTAAGACATTGTTTGGGTGGGAAAAAGTCTAAACTATGTCCACATCAGTACCTTTACATTTGCTTTTCTGTGCCTGAGAACTGATCTTCTCAAGGCTTGCTCCTTCGCCTCATTACCTGAGAAAGGACTTCTCTGACCTTGTCAGCTCCCCTCCTTTTATCTTCCATGCTATCATCCTTTTCCTTCCTTTTTAAGATGTGTTACAGTCTGAGTAACCCCGATGGACCGTGAGCTCCATTAGGCAGGGACTAAATAGGTCTTTTTCACCGTCGGATCCCCCAATATATAACTCTTTGCACATAGCAAAGGTTAAATAGACCTGTTGAATTAATCACTAACATTTCTTTGGATGCCAGCAATCACCACTTTAGGCTTTTAACTTGTGAATGACCACCCAAAACCTGTATGCAGCGGGATACAAGGATTTCGTTAAACAGTCTTGCGGGCCGAGGTTAACCCGAGGAAGACTGGACGACGACGGACTCCAGTTCGCCCAGGACACCGAGATGCCCGAGGGCCGCCGAGACGACAGGCCCTTGCCCTCAAGGGCGGCGGGCACCTCAGCTTGCCCGGCGATGGACGAGACTGCAGGCGCGTTTCTCTACGAGAGGCAGAGTGGAGCCCCGAGTCCCACGCCCCACCGGACACCCACTTACCTCCACAGGCTCACCCTTAACAGCGCACACGCTCCAGGCGACCGGAAGCTCGGCACTTCCGCCTTCCGGGCCGCCGCTTCACACCGTCCCGCCCTCTGGCGCGTTGCACGCTGGGAGCCGAATCAGAAGATCCAGAGGCGGGGTCTTCTGAAGCTGGACGCTGACGCGCTTCCGGTGTTTGGTGCCTGTAGGCCCGGGAGCCTGGCTCCTCCCAGTTCGGAAGCGGAAGTTGAGGAACGCGGAAGAGTCCCGGTCGAGGTCGGAGCGCCGGCTTCGTCTGACGTTTTAACCCAACGGGTGGCGGGGACCAGCGGATTCTGCCGCCAGGTAAGGAGCCCAGAGTCGACCTTTAGCTCCACGTTCACACAGTACTAATGGGTTCCCTGACACCGAATCATCCCCCCCCCCTTTTTTTTTTTTTACATCAAATAAAGGTGAAAATACAGACTCCAGAAATACTAAACAAAAGTGGAATTAGGGGGACTCCGAGTGACACAAACTATAATGTGGTAAAGGCCTAGGGTAGGGGGCAGGCTAGAAGGCATTGGGGGGGGGGGGGAAGGGGACTTATGTAATACTTTCAACAAAAAAGATTTTAAAATTAGCTAGCTGTATTTGATCAAACATTTCATTAGTTCACCCCTAATGCCTTGGCAGGGACAGACCAAATGACTTCGTCGGCCCGACGTTTCCCACCCTGTGTTAGAATTTAGCCACTTCTTCCAAAAAGAAGTGTGTGTACTGCATTTTAAGTGAGAGAAAACTCACTTTTACGTAGTCCAGATTGATTGCATATTGCTTAATATACCAGGCCGAAGCTTTTAAGTAGACATTTGGCACAAGAAAAGAGAAACTTATGAAAATGTCTTGGTGTTAATTATATGCCATAATTCAGGATTACTAATGCAGTTAAGTGGCCTTGGTAGATTTAGAAATCCCTAATTCATTCCTTCACTCATACATTTGAGTGTGTGCTCTGATGAGCACTATGCTAGGTATACAAAGATGACGGAAACCAAACCACAGACTTCAGGAAACTGTAACCCCTGGTAGAAGGATAAGGCTTAAGGGGTCAGATTGGACATAGTTTCTCTCTCCCTCTCAGAGGAGGACAGATTCTATGGGACTGGAAGGCACAATGGGTAGCACTGCATACCGACAGGAAGTGGGCTGTTTCTCCATCTGAAAGGCATACTCCACTATGGACACCAGCCATTCCCATCCTGTACCACCCTTCTTCCCTCCTAATCCCCCCCACCTCCCAGTCAGGCCTCTGAGGTGGGTCCCCTGATCTGCATAATCATTTAGTAAAATAGGAAGACTTCTGGGACTCAGATGGTGACTCCATGTTGTCCAGGCCCTAGAAGATGGGAACTTAAAGACAAAGCTTAGTACACAAAAATGAAAGGAACAAAAAGAACCTAAGTTCCCAGCTGCTCCCAAAAGGCCAACAGCTGGCTGCTGACACCACTAATGCCCACAGTGCGTCAAGTGGATTGAAAGCAGGGGTGAGAAAAGTAATGCAGGCCAATTAGATAGGGTCTGCTGCACCTCTTTCCTCAAATTACACTCAGTCAAAACGGTTCTCAGATACTGCGCCTACGTCTCTGACTGCATTTTGTGCCTAACACATGGAGTTGCCTGTCACTCTGAGTTCCACTAATTCCACTTTTTTAGTATTTCTGGAGTCTATTTTCACCTTTACTTAATGTTAAAAAAAAAAAAAATTTAAGTTGCACATGCCCTTTTATCCAGTAATTCTGCATCCAGGTATGTTCTTTACCTGGACAAACTCTCTTATCTGTGCATGCTGCTAAACATACAGGGACATACAGAGCAAGACTGACTGTGGTGGTAAAAAAGGAGGAACCATATAAAATTAAATGACAGAAGAATGTATGAATAACTATGGTTCATTTATAAACTAATACTCTACACCATACTCTGCAATCTGCGGCTCTTTGGCCCCTTGAGTGTGGCTCTTCCACAAAATACCACAATCTGGGAGAGTCTATTTTGAAGAAGTGGCATTAGAATAAGTTTAAGTTTAAAAAATTTGGCTCTCAAAAGAAATTTCAATCGTCATACTGTTATTTGGCTCTGTTGAGTTTGCCGACCACTGCTCTACACCAATGGTTTTCAAACTAATGGATGTAGTGATTTTGGTACACTTAGAAATTACAATATTTGCCATACCAAAAATTAAAACAATTTTTGGAAAATTTGATACCATTTTTAAAAGATAAATTTACATATATATTTCATCTTAAAAAATGAATTTCCCAAAACAAAAAAAGTGACTTACTGAAAAAAGTGGCATTGTTTTACATTTTTTCAAAATGGTTTAGCCCGGCCTGGTGGCTCAGTAGTTCAACATTGACCTATGAACCACGTCGCTGTTCTGTTCCCAGTCAGGCAGCCAGTTGATGTTTCTCTGGTGTTCTAGGCTCCTCCCCAGTAGGGGGCATGCAGGAGGCAGCCTATCATTGATTCTCTCTCTTCATGATGTTTCTATCTCCCTCTCCCTCTTCCTCTCCTCTTCCCCCTCTCTGAAATAAATAAAAATATATATCTTTAAATTTTTGTGTTGATTTGATTAACTTTTAGAGAAACATTCTGTGTTCCATTTATTTATGCATTCATTGGTTGCTTCTTGTATGTGCCCTGACCCGAGTCACCTAATAATCTCCTAGTTTATATACCTTATCTATCTCATTTAATCTTTACAACTGCCCAATAAGGTAGGTGTTATTATTATACCCATTATAAAAATGATGCAAAAGACCTAAGTAAGGAAGGATCAATACCTTGCCGAAGGCCACATAATCAGTTGGTTGCATAGCAGTTATTCTAATATAGATGCTCTTACCCACTAGGCTGTGTTAAACTTAAACATCAGGCAGTTGCATATTTAACAGTTAATTGAAAATGATGGAAGTCAAATTTATAACTAAAACAGGAAGCTAAATTCATACTACTAATTTATTTTTAAAAAATGTTTTATTAATTTTTTTAGATGAAACATCAATCATCTGCTTCCTGCACGCCCCTTACTGGGGATCAAACCACAACCCAGGCATCTACCCTGACCAGGCATCAAACCAGTGACCTCTTGATGCATAGGATGATGCTCTATCCGCTGAGCCACATGGGCTGGGCCACGCTACTAATTTATTTCAACTTGATAACTGGGGGAAAAATTATACTTAGTGAAAGTTATTAGCTGAGTTATATCTGCTCCAAATTCATATGCTGAAGTCTTAAGTCTATTTGGGCTGCTTTAACAAAATACTAGCAAATTTATACTAGGTAATTTTTAAATAACTGAAATTTGTCTCTCACAGTTCTGGAGGCTGGAAAGTCCAAGATCAAGGTCCTGGCATATTTGATGTCTAGTAAAGGCCCTTTCCTGGTTCACAGACTATGTCTTTTCACTGGGAGAATGGGAGAATGGGTGAGAGATCTCTACAGGGTCTCTCTTCAGAATAGGAATCTCATTCATAAGAGCTCCACCCTCTGACCTAATCACACCCCCAAAGCTGTACCTCTGAAACCTTCACACTGGGCACTAGGTTGTGGGACACAAACATTCAGTTCAGATCAGACCACCGCAAAGTCCTAATCCTTGTTAGTATCTCAGAATGTGACTATATTTGGAGATAGGACCAAAAGAGATAATTAAGGTAAAATGAGATTAGGGTCTCCTAATCCAATATATAAGACTGGTATTCTTATAAGAAGAAACTTGGACACAGACAAGTAGAGTGAAAAGACCATGTGAGAACACAGGGCCAAAAGCGAGGCCTCGGAAAAACAAATCCCACCAACACCTTCATCTTGGACTTCTAGCCTTCAGAATTGTAATAAATACATTTCTGATTAAGCTACCCAGTCTGTGGTACTTTGTTATGGCAGCTCAATAAAGTATTATATTAGAGTGAGGAAATTTGCCAAACTTTCACTGGTCACTAGTTTACTGTTATAATTTTAAAATGAAACCTGCACTTAAAAGAAAAATGTCAAATTTTATGTCACAATATCTAACTTTAAAGCAGACTTAATTTTTAAAGCATTTTATGATGAAATGTCATTAACACTTTAATACAATTCTGAATAATGCTCTGGGATTTACTTTTTTTTTTTTTAATTTTTCTTTTCTAAATGAAATAAAAACCTAGCCGCTCAAGGCAGAAACCAACCCTGGACAGGATGCTAATGCATCACAGGAGGCACACATACCGGTTCAGACTGGGACAATTTAGACTTGCCAGTTCATCTTTGGGATACGGAAGGAAACCAAAGTATCCAGAGAGAGCCCATGCAGACATGGGGAGAACTTGCAAATTACACACCGACAGTGGCCCTTACTGGGAATGGATTTTTTTTCTCACTGAACAAAATATTGAGAACCTGCTATATTATAGTGTAGTAATAGCTCAGAAGTACATAGCATACAAATAAAGTAGTAATTGATAGTTAATTGCGTCAAACTTTATTAATCATTTTACATATCCTGTTTTCAGTCACTTTTTAGCTGCTTCCAAAAGTCGCAACAGGTGCAAGAATAGATTGATGATATCCAAGTAGAGACTGATGGCAGCTAATACATACTCCTCAGGTGATAGCCTATGCATCAGTGAATGTGTGTCATAGATGATGAATCCACAGAAAAGAAGGGCTCCTAAGGCAGCCATAACCAATTCCACTGTCTCACTATAAAAAAATAACTGTAAAAAATAAAATAAAAATAACTTTAGGCAAAACATTAAAGTAATAAGAACAGTATTAAGTATACGGAAATTACTTGCTCTTAAGTTACATATACTACGTAGCTATATATTTAATAATGCTGTTCAACTTTGAATACAAATGTTAAAGCAGAAAAACGCAAAGCAGGTCTACCCTGGCTTCTGATAGATGAGAGAATGACTGGATGGATCCATGGATGTCCCCCTACTAGATAACCACTGACTTTAACAGAAGCATCCCAAATATAAACTACTAAAAATTTTTTTCATAATGTTATGTGCCACTTGGAGGTTAGCAATTACAAGTGAGGGCCGTTAACTCATTTGTTCATCTTTCTAGCAATAATACTGATTAACATGACACCTGGATCTTTCAAAAGATAATTTTATAACCACTCTATATACAAATGTTTCAGATAATTACAATGAAGTATCCTATCTTAAGATTATGCTTCTTACAGGTTCTTTTGAGATTAAAGTATTTATATTGACATGACCGGAATTACATTTCAAGTTATCATTCAAAAATAACTCACCCTCAAGATTCCTGACAAGCACAAAATCCATAAAACGGCAAACAGTCTATGAAAATAAAATATTAATTTAGAATAAATATTGTTCCTTACAAAAAACTTTGTAAACCCATTCAGCATATTCTGAAGAAATAAATCCATCCTGCTATTTGTCAAAGAATAGTTTTAATGTAAGAATTCATAAACATACAATATAATGTAGAATACCCAGAAATTAAAAGAATTATTTATTCAACATTTGTTTATATGGTGCATAACACCAAAAGTGTCAATTTTTAGCTTTTCAATTCAAATGCACGGAAGCACACATAACCCCACAACATAATTAAATCGGAAAGTAAGTATACTTTTATATTACAGTGTGGTGAGCTGAGGATGTAGTGAGATCCCAGCCCCCGGTTATCTTGCTGGAACGGCCATAAAACTCAGGCTACCTCTGGCATACTTAGACCCTTCAGGACTGAAAGGGACTCGGGACTTGTCTTTTCATACTTAAACCCCGGGGAAACGCCAAAGTTTCTGCACCAAGAATATGGGAAGTTGGGATTAAGAACTATAGAGCATGTGAAATTTTACCTTACTTACGAGCAAATAAGTTAGCCTAGCACAATTTTGTGGATGCTAGTAGAACACAACGGATGCCTAGGTCTAAGATGAAGGACAGTTTATTACAACAATAACAGTAGCTGAAGAACTGGCATAGTAGATTGGTGTGGGAGTACAGAAATTAGAGAGCTAGAAGGACAAGGTTGAAGAAAAAGTATGTTTGGCATTTAAGATTTCAGCAGTGGAATAATCCTAGTGATTGCAAGGTCCACAAAGTGGACCCATGCAGGGAATGAAAGTTGCTGCAGTAGATGGGGTCCAGAGATATTGCAGGGAATGAAAGTTGCTGCAGTAGATGGGGTCCAGAGATATTGAGAGGCAAAGGTGATGGATGGGCCTAGCATGCAGTTTGATGCTACAGTCTTTAAAGAATGAGGAGGCTTGACCAAAAAGGGGATCAATGACAGTAACGAGGAAGGGTAGGATGTGTATCACCAGAAACCATAAGCCTCAATGCAGTGAATTTCTATTATGCTGAAGGAATAATGAAAAGTGGCACCAGGAGACTAACGCAGTTTTTTTATAGTAACCCCCAACTCCACCCCCAGCTCTGTAGGGTGTGGGGGAATGAGTGGCTAGAGAACAGTTCTCGGGGAAGAATCAAGTTTCAGCTGAGATAAGGAAAAAAGATGTTATAAAGAGGCTGAAATATAGGGGAGATTATATACCAGGAGTTCTAGAGACTATAGTAGAATGTATGGGAAAGAGGGGAGCCATTGGAGTTTGGAATAGAAAGAAGAGAGAAAACCTGTCATATTTTTTATATTTATATATATATGAAACCCTCTTCCCCCCCCAAAAAAAATAAGAATAAAAAGAACATGTTACCTTTTCCTAAATCAAACTCCATTTTATTAAAACTATTTATCTTGAACAATTATCAGTGTTGTCTAACCAGCTATATTTTATCCCAAAAGATTTCTGGTAATCTGGATTACCAGGGGAATAAAGGGGGGAGGGCAGCTTTCTACGAGTACAGTTTTGTAAGTTTTTAGTGTTGTAACAGGAAAAAGAATAGAAAACGGTTGGGTGGTTATTTGTGCCAACAGGAAGCTAGAGTGATCTTAGAAGAGTCTATTCATTCTTAACCAGGTGAGGGCAACACAGTACTATTATCCTAATAAAAAGGATCATTCCATATATCTATTAGTTTGAAGAAGGATAGAGGTTAATCAAATGGATCAAAAGGTTTTGAGGTTCATGTAGACATCTCCAAAATCTTGCTTTCACTAAGGTTTTGGTGACATTTGTGTTAAGACAAAAACCTAAATAATTTAGGCAAATTCCATACCATTCATAAAGCACAGAAGCCTACTCTAGAAAGCTAAATTTATTTTAGCATTCACTTCCTTTTCAACAGAGAGGGGAAGGAAATGAATCAAAGCCAGTTTCCATGCCCTTGAATGTTCTGGGAGAGTAGGATCCTAGACCTCAAAGAGATGGCCTTTCATTGTGCTCCACTTTAATAAAAGGCAGTATTCAAAAGTAACAGTATAGCACTTCTCTCAAAACTATAATATTAAAGATGTCTACCATAGCCATGAATATATAACTTACCCTGCTCCAAATTTGCTGAAATCTCTCTTAGATTGTAGAGTATACATAGTCAAACCAAGAAATACTGCAGTAGTCAGTACAAAAGCTTGGAGAATAATATACACATCATAGAAAGTAACTGTAAAGTAAAAAAAAAAAAAATAGATTAAAAGTGTATATAAATATACTCAATATAAAATGGCTTTTTTTCTGGGATTTAACCAAAATGCTTTATTTTCTCATACTACATGCCAATAAGAACTAAGAAAAGATTCCTTATTCAGCCTTGAGTATTGATTGGTACAGTAAGACTATCTTCATAATGCAATATCTAGGTTCCAAAATATTCATCAATGCAAAATAAGGAGGTCACATTATTCTGAGTTAAAGAAATGACTGGAGATTACACAGCTAGTCAGTTTTGGGGATATGGAGGAATTATCATTCTACCCTACCCCTGTTCTACCTGCAATTAATCACTATCAGCACGACCTCTTTCCCCTACCCCCAGCCAGCTCCATCCGATTGCCCCTCCCACACCAACCGGGGGTGGGGCTGGCTGGCCAACCTCCCACTGGCTGTTGGCCCTTGAGAGGCCCCCTCCACCTCATTTGTGGGCGGAGCCAGTCAGCCACCAACCACAGCCCCTCCCCACAACCCACCCTGCCCCTAGCTGCCCCCCCCCACCCCAATTGAGGGTGGGTCCTGCCAGCCAATCACCCACGGTTCCTCCCTGCAGCCAGCCCGCCCCGATTGGGCTCCAATTGGGGATGAGCAAGCCAGCCAACCTCCCACCATCTTCTCCTCCCGATAGGCCTAACCCCAATCCGTTCCTATTGGGTCCGGGCCAGCAGGACTCCACCCATGCACAAATTCGTGCACTGGGCCTCTAGTCCTATTAATAAAAGCCTAATGTGCAAATCAACTGAAGGGGGAATAACAGGAGGAAAAAGTGGTTCCTATGATATGCATTGACCACCAGGGGGCAGATCTCAGTGCAGGAGCTGCCCCCAGCTCGCAAGCCCCAGGCCAGCCAAGGCGGTTATGAGTTGGGAGGGCCTACCCCCTCTCTACCCCCCCACCCCATCACCTCGCTGGTTGGCCCACAGGATCAGCCCTGATTGCTGGCCAGGCCTAGGAACTCTACCTGTGCATGAATTTCATGCACCAGGCCTCTAGTATAATAATAAATTACAGTTTGATGCAGACAATTTAAGAGGCTGAGCTCATTTAAAAAAAAAAGCCTGGCCCGTATGGCTCAGTGGCTAAACATCAACCAATGAACCAGGACGTCACAGTTCAATTCAAGTTTAGGGCACTTGCCCATGTTGTACACTTGATCCCCAGCAGAGGGGGTGCAAGAGGCAGCCACTCAATGATTCTCATCATTTATGTTGTTCTCTTTCTCCCTCTCGAAAATCAATAAAAATATATTTTAAAAAAAGGCTGAGCTTGTAATGAAAGTACCTGATTCAAAACATGTTATCAGCTTTCTAAGGGCCCTTTAAATTACAGAAAAGACTGTCTTGCAGAAACCAGTTTGGCTCAGTGGTAGAGCGTCGGTCTGCGGACTGAAAGGTCCCAAGTTCGATTCCAGTCGGGGGCATGTACGTTGGTTGCGGGCACATCCCCGGTAGGGGGTGTGCAAGAGGCAGCTGGTCGGTGTTTCTCTCTCATCGATGTTTCTAGCTCTCTCTCTCTCTCCCTTCCTCTATGTAAAAAATCAATAAAAATATTTTTTTTAAAAAAGACTGTCTTATTTTTATAAATGAATAAACACAAATGAATATTCTACATTCCTACTGTTTTTATAATTCTTTCCCACTCCTTCTAAGCTCAGTTGAACTACGTAAAGTATAAACATTTCATTTTTGCTTATATTTTAGCAATTTTAAGCCTATACCATATTTTTGAAATATGACATTCCATGATATTAAGTTTTCGTCCCAAATCCTTTTATCCAGAATACTTATCCATATTAAAAAGTAACTGTAATATATAGGAGAATAATTATGGCTTACCAACACAGGCCACAGAAAGAGCTTCCAACAGTGTCTAAGAAAAAGAAATTGAAATTACATAAATGCATGTGAAATTTATACTGTCAGGTACATGGTTCTAATTTCTAGTTCAATGTGATTCCATATGTATGATCTCATTTTAGCTTCAGAGCAGCCTTGAAAAGTATATGGGACAGATAATAAGCCCCATCATATAAAAGTGAGACCTCAATATATTGAGTGAGAATATTTAGATTTTAATTGTGATTCCATCACTACTTAAACTCTAACTAGATATTTAATATCTGTAAGAGGAAGATTATAGAAATAGTACTGAAAATTCTATTTTTCTCACTGTAATGTAAATATAAATGAAATTGCAAATCATGTGCACATTTATAAAAACAAATATCTCTTAAACAATATTAAACATTAAATTGCTAATTTAATACTAAATATACAGGTAGCACTTTGGTGTGGCAATCCTAAAATTTTCTCACAATATTATATCTCTTTCTTCCCTAGTAACAGAATTTTTAACTGGATGTACATTTTTACCTGCTTTGATTAAACATTGTATTTTTCAGTATCCCTTACAGCTAAATCTGGCCAGGACTATATTCCAGCCAGGAGGATGTGAGTAGAGACATGTACAACTTCTAAAAGTAAAGAGACTTCCTCCCTTTTCTCAAATAAGTAGGTAGAATATGGATATGATAGCATCTTATATCATATGACACATTAGGAAGATCTGAACCTTAACAGGTACCTGGGCCTCTGACAACTCCACTAAACAGTTATTCATATTTTTTACATGTAGGAGAAATAAACCTTGTTTAAACCATATTATGAGTAGCTCTAGTTTCCTTTTCTCTCAACTATATATCTTTACTTCTTTTATATGCTTACTCTACCATAGATTTGTCTCAGTCATCTGAGAGACCATACCATAAAAGCAAAGCCAGCAGTAACAGTAGTGGTTTATAATCATACACAGAACACTCCCTGCTAACCTTCCCTACCTAAAATCAAGAAATCATTAGGACCAGAGCAAAAATGGTATTAGAAATTGTACATGGATATGGAATCAACGAAGTCACTGCCACATTTTGTTATAATGTCCGTAGTGTCATGGAAGTAGTAGCAAAGATAATAGAAATATTTCTTCTGAGCAATATTCTTGATATTTGTGATGATTTTAGTTAAGAATCCTACCCCATACTCAATTATCAGAAGGAAAAAACAACGGTATAAACAGGAAAAAAGGCTAAACTAAGAAAACATCCCAAAATAATACCCCATTTTGAATGTGTGCTGGCAAGCTCGCGCATATCGCCTAAGGCAAGGTGAGATCCATCTCTTCCTTATTTTGATGAGAGTAGAACAAAATACTCCAGTATCAGAGGTCTCTGGGTAATCAGAAGTGCATTTTTATATACTTCCTTATTTGTTAAAACACATTTATCTAGGGGCCTAGTCAATAGATGTAGCATAAGTGACTATATCTTGCCCATAAGTATTTGGCTGATGCTCTGATGCTTTCTAATGGGTCCTCTTCTTGCTGAACAAAAGCTGATCGATCTAAACCATTGTTCCACATAGAAATCAGTCTTTCTGAAAGCAGACTGGCTACCTGCAGTGCTCAACAGGAACTCTACATGACCCTGTTTCTTCTTATACTTCCTCCTCCTCTCATAGGACAGCTGGCTGGGACAGGAGTTGGCATCTAACACAGGGGTTGCCAACCCATACTGGCTAACAATCCACGATGTGACCAGCTGCACCAATCAGATTCTTTCTCAGTTAAAAATATAAACTCGGAGAATAAAGCAATGGTAGCAGAAGCTGAAGCTACCAAGTTAGTAATGAATCACATTGAGGACCCACAATGGACCACATAAAAACATATAAGGTAGAGAAGAAATGTAATGGAAGGAGGAGGAGGAGACCACAAACTCTTGATGTTGAATTTCCTCATTTTTATATAATGGGGCTTATTATCTGTCCCATATACTTTTCAAGGCTGCTCTGAAGCTAAAATGAGATCATACATATGGAATCACATTGAACTAGAAATTAGAACCATGTACCTGACAGTATAAATTTCACATGCACAATAAAATCATTTCTAGAACCTTCCTCCAGTGCCTTTTCTTCTAGAGGCCTGATGGGGTGGGCTAATAGCTTCCAAAGCTTTTATATCCTTAAAATAAACTCCCTACTACTGATAATAACTTTGGTGAGATATTGATTTTAATTATACTACCTATAAAAACTCAGTCTTAGAATATGACCAGAATGAGTTGATAAGGCCTATGATTTAAATGGATAACCTTTCCAATAACTGAAATTTTCAAAGTCGTGAGCTTTCGTAATATTAAAAACTTGTTATCAAAATTCATAAAACTTTCTTTAAGACAGTTTAATCTGATAAATAGCATTTTAAATCTTATTTGACTATAAATATTCTTAATAATAGTTTGGAAGATTTTGATGTACTTTTTAAGTCAGAACCCAAATCACACTAAATATAAAAATAGGAAAAGTAATTTTTAAAATACATAACTTGTAGCCTTACCAACTCATTCTGGTCATATTCTAAGATTGAGTCTTTATAGGTGGTAGTTTGGGTTTTCATTTTCACAAATATTTGAAACAAATGTGACTTAAACTTAGTTCTCCCAACAATGATTTTGAAACAAGTTATTTAGTAAAGCACATCAAATGAAAAAAGTGGACCTTTAAGAGAACAGAGTCATCAGACAAAAATAAACTGAGGAATTAATCATAAAGATTTCAATTTAAGGCCTATGAAATTAAGGCCAAAATATAATTTTTACCAAGAAAAGCATTGAATATTAGGAGTAGAAAGTATCAAAGGGATAATCTACTTTAATATTTTCATTTTACATATGAGAAAGCTTAGGTACAGAAAGACTAACCGCTCTGCCAAATGTCATATAACCAGATAGTGGCAAAACCAGGTCACGTGATTGCAATTCATTATTTTTTCCGCTATATCATAATATTGACAGAAAAGACTTTGAAACTGACAAAGTTTAAAATTTTTTACAGACTAGGAGATTATAAATTCTGTTAGTGATACATATATGCATTCAGTTAAGTAAATAAATTTAAAACAGTAAAAAATGTTAAAGGGACAGATATTGTCAAAGTACTCACAAATCCAAAAAGCAGGTACAGGTTAAGAGGATGCTTATGTCTGTTTAGAATCAATGCAAAAATCGAACCCAAAGATCCAATGGCAAACACCAAAATTAAGGCAGGACTGAAAGACAAAATTAAAAGCAATTTAAAGTAAAAAAAAATACAGCATAAATAGTATTACAAAATTTAGTAAAATGTGTCTATTTTATATGTTTGTGAAAGTACAAAATACCATCTGGAAGGATCCACACCACATCTGTCAAAATAAATTATATTTCCATCTGGGAAATCTGAGGAGTAGGAGATGGAGAGGAGTAACAGGACAAAGAAAAGAGATCATAAGGCAAGAGGAAGACTCTTCCTTTTTACTTCATGAACATATCATATTTGAATAATTTTTGCAATTGCTTTTTAAACTAAAATACAAAGAAAAGCTATTAAATACTAAACAAATTTTTTAAATCTTAAAAAAAATTTAATATGTTTTTATTGATTTCAGAGAGGAAGAGATAGAAACATCAATGATGAATGAGAATCATTGATTGGCTGCCTCCTGCATACCCACACTGGGGAATCAAGCCTACAACCTGGGCATGTACCCTGTCTGGGAATCAAACCGACCTCCTGGTTCATAGGCTGAGCAATAAAACATCGGCTGAGCAATAAACTAATTTTACATCTCACTATTTTTTTAGCTATTTACTACATAGCTGTAATTTAAAGATCTCTACCTCAATTGCAAACTAATAGTTCAAGACTTCTCTTCTGTAGAGGGAGGATATAAATTGTCTATTTAATAAAATATTCATTCCTTATTTTTCCTTTCCTTTAATATAAAGATTCTATATTACTTTTAGCCATAAAATTATTCTGGAGGTCAGATCTTAAATAAATTTGAGATAAATCATATGGAATGCCTTTGAAAACTTTTCAGTGAAATTATCCTAGGCCTGATCCAACACTAAGATAAATTAAAAACACATTAGTTAAATACCTTTATTTTTCAAGTGCTCTATTAGGCTTTGAGGACAAGGCATAAGTCTAATAAAAGCAAAAAATTAAGACTAAAAACTGTATACAGTAAAAATTCTTAATACAATTCCAAGAGATAAGGATTTAACCCTATAAAACTAAAAAGTTGAGAGGTAAATACCATGTTATAGAATATTTATCAAAACAAAACTAATGTTACTTATAAGAGTTAATGGACAATTTTACATTGGAACATGAAAAGAGAATAGAAAATAAAGAACTTTGCTTATTCCATTCTGATCATAAGCAGTGGCTGAAAGTGATCCAGAATCATCTTACCTTTCATGTACAAATGTCCGTAAAGACTCAAAGTATAAAAAAAGTGCAGATGTCACTGTAGTTAAGAGAACTTGCAGAGAAAGGATGGTATAGACTTTTCTTAGAAAGGCTAGAAAAGAAAAAAATATATAATTATTTTCTTAAGAATTTGTCATAGAACAGCAAGATCAAATGTCTTATTAAATTTTATATGTATTTTTAAATATTAATCCAAATAATGTTATCTGTAACTAAAACTTAAAGAAAATGCTTCCAAAGGGGAAAAATTGTTAAATGGTAACAATTTTTCCAAGAAGCATGAACTTAAAAATTAATAGGCCAGAATGTGTTTTTCCATCAATATAAAAGAAAGCACTAAATGGGTATTTATAAACATAAATGTACAACAAAAGATTAAAAACAGAACACTTTAAAAGAATGGTTCTATCATGAAACTGCAATGCAGGAACAGAAAGCATGTGTTTGCATATCAATTTAAAAAGAAATCTTAATTTTCAAGCAGTACAAATGTTTCCCTCAAATGAACTTCCCCTTAAAAGGCAAACAATATATAAACGTAACTTTCACTCACCCATTTTTACTTCTCACTTATAGTACCTCTGCCTCTAATTTTTATACAATAAGAAATTCTTTCAGAACATTTTGTCAACATCCATAAATTAACTCCAAGGCCTAATGATTTAAAAATACTTAGTCTTCTGATATAGGGATAATATAAGTAGTACACTGAACACCAGACTCACCACCAGCTTCACAAATAAAACATTAATAACAGTTCCCACCTCCTCTATGTAAATATCTATAATAATCTATAATAATAAAAGCATAATATGCTAATTAGACTGGATGTCCTTCCAGATGAAGCCGGGCTGGGAGAGAAGCCTGGGTCCTGGTGCCTGTCGGCAGCTGGAGGGAAACCCAGGTCCCAGGTGCTAGAGGAAAGCCCTGATCCCGAGTGCCGGGGGAAGCCGGTGTTGGCAGACAGGGGAAGGAAGGCCTATTCTTGCATGAATTTCATGCATCAGGCCTCTAGTACTAATAACAACATCCCTCATCCCCTTAGCTAACTTCTAGTCACCTTTCAAGATTCAGCCTTTCTCATTTCTTCAGTCTAAATTAAATGTTCTTCCTCATGCTCCCAATGGACCCTAACCATAGTTCTCATCACATTACTTTTTTTTTTTTTTTGAACTTCACCCAAAGATATGCTTTCATTGATTTCAGAGAGAGAAGGGGAGAGAAAAATGGATTGGAGGATAATTAATGACATCAATCAAATTTAAAATATACATACTCTTTTGACCCCATAATTTTACTTCTAAAAATTTATCCTAGAGCAACACTTGCAGAAATTTACAGAGCTATGGAAAGATGTTCCCTAAAGCACTATTTGAAGGAATTAAAAAATAATAACCTAAATATCCACCAAGAGGGTATGATTAAATTAATTGTGGTACATACATACTATGTAAGACCACTGTTATTAAAAAACTATTGTGTACTATGATTTTTCTAAAATATATATTTTATTATTTTAGAGAGAGTAAGGGAGAGGGAGAGAGAAACATCTATGAGAACCATTGATTGGCTGCCTCTTGCATGCTCCCTATTGGGATTGAGCCCACACCTGGGCATGTGCCCTGACTGAGAATCAAACTGGAATGATGCTCAATCAACTACAACACACTATGCTATTTTTACATGTAAAATATATTTTTACAAGTGAAAATACAAAGTTGCAGGGAAGTATATATAATATAATCCCATAAATTATAACATTCTCCTAAGTCTATAAAATAGTATGTGTTAGTGTTTCAAAAATGTACATATAGCATATTGCTAAAATACACTAGTTTAATAGGCTCTAATATATTTCATATATTACTGACTACATAAACTTAATTGGCACTGTAAAAGTGCTCAAGGTAGAGACTGTACTCAGAAATTCATTCCCCCATAATTTTTCTGTTGCTTCATGATTTGTTGTTTTCCAACAAGAAGCCTTGACATTTTATATTTATAATATTCCAAAATTATTTTCCAGAAAATGTACACATTACAGTCAGCTTAATTTTGCTTTAAAAAACAAGTGGAATATTTCTTTTTTACTTATTAATTGGTAAAGGACCAGACAGCTGAGAACCACTTTTTAATACAAATGTAGTCAGCTTAGTTACCAGCCTAATTACCAGGGCTCCTAAGTAAAATGCTCCAGCATAATTTAAATATTCATGAATAAGTAAATGCTCATTAAGTTTTTTGTTATTTTGATTAGTATTGTTATAATGACATAAGACATACAGAAATAAATATAAGATTAGTTTTTCTTTAAAAACAGTTTACAGTAGAAACTGGTTTGGCTCAGTGGATAGAGTGTCAGCCTGCAGGTTCAATTCCGGTCAAAGGCATGTACCTTGGTTTCGGGCACATCCCCAGTAGGAATTGATGTTTCTCTCTCATCGATGTTTCTAACTCTCTATCCCTCTCTCTTCCTCTCTGTAAGAAATCAATAAAATATATATTTTTAAAAAAACAAACAGTTTACATATGCAGAGAGGTGGAAATTATGAACTCTGGTTTCTAGTCCTCGAGCCTCACAGCAAACAACCATGTGTTTTTATTTATTTTAGAGGAAAGGAGAGGAAGAGAGAGAGTAAAAACCATAAATGGTGAGAGAGAATCATGAATCCACTGCTTCCTGCACTCCCACTTTCCTACGGGGGATCCAGTCTGCAACCCAGTATGTGCCCTGACCAGGAATGGAAGTGTAACTTCCTGGTTCATGGGTTGATACTCAACCACTGAGCCATCTAGCCAGGTAAGTACTATGTTATTTTAGACAAGTGTTTTTAAACTTAGTTTTCTGTAGATCATGAGTGTATATTATTTCAGGATTATAATTCCAGGGAAAATGACAATATTGTTATTACAAAAATTCTAAGCAAAACTTTGTGGACTTCAGTAGCCACGAGTTGGAGGAAGGGAGGGATAAGTGGTGAGAGCACAGAGGGTTTTTAAGAGAGAGAAACTATTCTGTATGATACTGTAAAGGTGGGTGTAAGTCATTATACATTTATCAAAACCCAAAGAATGTACGACACCTAGAATGAACCCTAATGTACATTATGGGCTTTGGGTGGTGATGATGTGTCAGTGTAGGTTTGTGGACTGTAACAATACCACTCTGCGTTTTTTTTCAATAGATGGAGTTACATATATATTAATATACTATGTATGCGATTTGATATGTATGCTATTTTGTTGTATTGACAGCAAGCTTCAAAACTTCATATGTCAAATTTGCTGAAGGTGTTAACATCATAGATATTTTTACGCTTAAAAATGTCGAATTTCGTGCCAAAAAAAGAGCATTTGCGGGAAGTTTTAATTCATTACTTTATTTTGAAGAAACGTGCTGCTGAAAGTTATCGTATACTGCGGGAAGCTTATGGTGAGCATGCTCCATCTCAAGATACTTGTGAACGCTGGTTTAAACGCTTTAAAAGTGATGATTTTGATGTGAAAGACAAAGAACGTCCAGGTCAACCGAAAAAGTTTGAAGATGAACAGTTACAAGCATTATTGGATGAAGATGCAAATCAAACTCAAAAACAACTTGCAGAAAGATTAAAAGTTGCTCAGCAAACAATTTCAGATCGTTTACAAGCAATGGGAAAGATTTTAAAGGAAGGAAAATGGGTGCCACATCAACTGAACGAAAGACAAATGGAAAACCGAAAAGTCACCAGTAAAATGTTGCTTCAACGGCACGAAAGAAAGTCTTTTTTGCATCGAATTGTGACTGGAGATGAAAAATGGATTTATTTTGAGAATCCCAAACGCACAAAATCATGGGTTGATCCAGGTCAACCATCAACATCGACTGCAAGGCCAAATCACTTCGGAAACAAGACAATGCTCTGCGTTTGGTGGGATCAGGAAGGTGTGGTGTATTATGAGCTTCTAAAACCAGGTGAAACTGTTAATACTGATCGCTACCGACAACAAATAATCAATTTGAATCATGCTTTGATCGGAAAACGACCAGAATGGGCTAGAAGACACGGCAAAGTAATTTTGCTTCATGATGACACATCATCACACACTTCAGAACCAGTTAAAGACACGTTAAAAGATCTTGCCTGGGAAGTATTAACCCACCCGCCATATTCCCCAGACCTTGCTCCTTCAGATTACCACTTGTTCCGATCGATGGCACACGCACTTTCTGAGCAGCACTTCAAAACATACGAAGAAGTGAAAAATTGGGTCTCTGAATGGTTTGCCTCAAAACAAGGAAAGTTCTATTGGGATGGTATCCACAGATTACCTGAAAGATGGGCGAAATGTGTAGCTAGTGATGGACATTATTTTGAATAAAGCACTTTTGATGTTTCTCTTGAAATTATTATGTTTTCTTTGATTACAAAATTCGCATTATTAACCGGTACACCGGTAACTTTCCACATTTAATTTTGCTGTGAATCTAAAACTGCTATAAAAAATAAAGCTCCTCAAAACAAAATAGGCAAAAAGACTTTTCTTCATAGAAGATTACAATGGCCCATGAGTATATGAAAATATGTTCAACATCACTAATTATTAGGGAAATGCAAATTAAAGTTGCAATGAGTTATCTCACACCCATCTGAATGGCTACTTAAAATAAATGTTGCTGAAGATGTGGACTCTTGTGCAATGTTGATGAGAATATAAAATGGTCCAGGCTCTATGTAAAACATTATGGTGGTTCCTCAAAAACTTAAAAATTACCATCTTGTAAGAAAATAGAAAATATATATTGGTCTCTGTCTCTATTTCCTGATGCAGAGATCATGAGATCCTTATAATTTCCTAAGTGGTAAGAACATTAGGTGCATGTTCTAATACTGGTTTATGACCCTGCTTCCTAACATGGCTGGTCCCTGGTAATGTACTGGGTGATAAGGGTGCCTTTGTTTGGAATGGCTTTGGGTTGGCTTCTGGATGGCTCCTGGACAAGGTCCGGGCACAGAAAGATCAAGCTATGATTAGAAGTTGGAATTTTCAGCCCAACCCCCATTTTCTTGAGAAGGGAAAAGAACTGAAAATGCAGTTAAATGTCTACATGAGGAAACCTCCACAAAAAAATCCCAGTATTATGGAGCTAAGAGAGCCTCTTGGTTGGTGAATTTATCCACGTACTGGAAGGGTAAATGCTCCAACTCCATGGGAACAGAAGCTCCTGTGCATGGAACTGTCCCAACAGGCCTCGCCATATGTACTCATCTGGCTGTTCATCTCTATCCTTTAGTAAACTGGTTTCCCCGAGTTCTCTTAGCCACTAGAGTAAATTATCACACCTGAGGAGGGAGACTTGGGAACCTCTAATTTGTGCTCAAGTCAGACAAAAGCTGGAGACCTACTACTTGTGACGCCTCTGAAGTGGGATGGGAGCAGTCTTGTGGTATTAAATTGCTGACCTTTGGGATCTGACACTTTTTAGTCAGAATTGAGTTAAATAGTAGGATAGATACTCAGATGGTATCACAAAGAATTGCTTGGTATTGGGGGGAAAAAAACCACACATTTGGTGACTAGAAATGTCAGAAGTGTTCTGTGTGAAAAATAAAAGAAACACAGGAGAGAGTACGGGGTTTTTCCAATGGAAAAACAGGTTTTCCCCCAAAACATATTTGATCCAGCAATTCCACTTCAGGGTACATATCCAAAAGAATTGAAAGCAGGGTCCCCAAAACATATTCATATACCTATGTTTACAGCAGCATTATTCATAATGAGGTAGAGGCAACTGAAATGTCCACCAACAGATGAATGAATAAATAAAAGTTGTCTTATACATAAAAATGGAATATTATTCAACCTTAAAAAGGAAGGAAATATCTGACACATTCTGTAAACACCACCCAGAAAACATGCTAACTGAAGGGAATCACAAAAGGACAAATGTTGCATGATTCCACTTACAGGAGATAGCTAGAATGGCCAAATTCATTGAAACAGAAAGTAGAAAGGCAATTGCCAGGAAGGGGGAAATGGGGAGCTCCTTGATGGGTATAGAGTTTTGCAAGATGAAAAGTTCTGGAGATTAACTGGACAGTGTGAATATTACTACTACTGCACTTTAGTGCCCTTAAAATGGTTAAGGTGGTAAATTTTTAATGTTATGTGTATTTTACCACAATTTAAAATGTTTTAATTAAAAACAAAAACTTGCCAAAGTAATTCAAAATTCAATTATAGAAATAGAGCTACTAGAGATCATGATTCTTAGTGCATCAGAGCTCCATAATTCCTTTTCCAGAACAAGTTCCAGCTGCCCAGACAGGATGAAAATCTGGGGCAGCTTCTGTGATCAATCAACTGGCTGAACTAGAGGGGGACAATGAATTCCACTTAAATGAAACTGAGCATTTTTAAAAAATTTATTTAATATATTTTTATTGATTTCAGAGAGGAAGGGAGAGGCAGAGAGAGATAGAAATATCACTGATGAGAATCACTGATCGGCTGGGCTGTCTGTCTCCTCCATGTCCCACACTAGGGATCAAGTTCACAACCTGGGCATGTGCCCTGACCAGGAAATGAACTGGGACCTCCTGGTTCATAGGTCGATGCTCAACCACTGAGCCATGCTGGCCAGGCAAAACTGAGTCTTTTAAATTTAGAATAATTCCTGCCCACTAGATATCAAATAACTTAAAACTAATATGGTATCTTGATTGACTTAGAAACCATCTATTTCCAACACCTGCCCCAATAATACTCAAACTTATGTTGAGTTCTTGTTCCTTCAGAGAAAATAGTGAACAAGAATAGACATAGCCGAAACCGGTTTAGCTCAGTGGCTAGAGCGTGAGCCTGCGGACTGAAAGGTCCCAGGTTCGATTCAAGTCAAGGGCATGTACATTGTTTGCGGGCACATCCCCAGTGGAAGGTGTGCAAGAGGCAGCTGGTCGATGTTTCTAGCTCTCTATCCCTCTCCCTTCCTCTCTGTAAAAAAATCAATAAAATATATTTTTTTAAAAAATAGACATGGTTCCTGCCCTCACTGATTTATAATCCAGCAAAGGACACAGACAAAAAGTTAAAAGTGCATGCACACAGTCCTGGACTGGGTAATCAGTTAGTCAAGGCTTCGGTTGGATCCCCTGGTCAAAGCAAGTACAAGAAGCAACCAATGAATTTATAAATAAGTAGAACAACAGATCTAATAAAAAAAAAAAAAAAAAAAAACCAGGGAAACAAAAATAAAATGCGTGCTCAGTTGCCTGCGCCTCCCCAGGCGGCGGACCGCATCCCCGGCAGGGGGCGCGCAGGAGGCAGCGGGCGGATGTTCACTTTCTCTTTCTCTTTCTCCCTCCCCCCCTCCCTAAAAATCAATAACAATATAAAAATGTAATAAAATGCGTTCACATGCCCTACGCACAAACATCCAGCAGATAACACAAAGCAGGTTATTGTGTAATCATGGTGATCACTCAATAGGTCACAAAGGTTACACAATATTGATGACACAATAAACTTATTTCCACCGAAAAAAAACCACAAAACTGATATTTTTTCAGTGAAATATGCCCAGTAAGGCCGCTGAGGCTTTCATCCGTCCCTTTCCACACCGAACACGACCGGGTTCAAAGAGGAAGGGCTCCAGTTTCGTTTTCTCCGCACCCAGCGGGCTCCCGGGCTCCCAGGGCCCCCCGGCCCGCCGGCTCCCCTGGCCCCCCGCCCCCCGGCCCCCCGGCCCCCCCGGACCCCCGGCTCCCCGGCCCCCCGGGCCCCCCGGCCCCCCGGACCCCCCGGCTCCCCGGGCCCCCCGCCCCCCGGTCCCCCGGCCCCCCGGCTCCCCGCCACCTACCCATGCGGACGTGCACGCTGGCGGAGGCCACGCAGCTGCCATAGTTGAAGTCGTCCTCGATGGAGGAGCGCGGGTAGCGGGGGTCGGAATCGGCCATGGCGGCGATGGAACCCGGCTCCCGCGGAATAACGTACGACACCCGGACCTCAACGGCTGTCGGCCACTTCCGGCTCCGCAGCCGCCCGACCGGCCCGACCGCCTCCGCCAGCGCCCTCGGCCAATCCCGGCGCGGCCTCGGCGGCTCCGGAAGGTCGCCGGGGTTAGGGTGCCGGAAGGCAGAATGCTGACGCCGTCAGTAAGGGGACACTTCCCTCAGGCGGTCCTCAACAGCCTTTATTTTATTTTATTTTATTTTACTTTATTTTATTTTTTATCCTTACCTGAAGATATGTTGTGAATGGTTTTGAGAGACAGAGAATAAATGTGATAGAGAAATGTGGATTGGCTGCCTCCCAGACCTCCCCGACCGGAGATCAAACCCCAAACCTAAGAGGTGCCCGGACAGAATAGAGGAGCTGCAGCCCACAGCTGGGCCAGGGCACCCAGAGGGTTCTCTTTGAGGGGTGCAGGGGTGCTGACAGGCAGCCCGCAGCCCAGTGGGGTAGAACCTCCTCCTGATTCAGCAAGGGTGCTGGCAAGAAGCAACCAAAGAGAGCATAGCAAGTGGAACAACCCACTGGTGTTTCTCTCGCTCCCTTCCTCTCTCTAATCAATAAAAACTAAAATAAAAAATAAACCCTCTGGGTGTGGGGCCCCACCTGTGTCAAGTGGAGACAGAGCTGAGCACTGAGCTCAGAGCACCTCCAACAGCTCACACCTGTGCTGAGGGAAACTCCAGGGGCCCCTGAGCTGCAGAGCATCAGGGTGGACAAGCCCGTGGCCACTGGAATCAGAGGGCAGTAAGGGAAGTGCTGGTGCTGAAACATCCATCTTATTATAAAAACTGCTGTTTGAAATTTTAGCCCTGCTATTTTGGCTTCTGTAAATGGTTGCTTGATTAAGTAATAAGGAAAATAAGACTACTCCCACTTCAGAGAGGCGATTAAACCTTCCCTGGATGAAGTTATCAGTGATGACACCAAGCCAGGCCTGTAGCTCAGGTGTGAAAGCCCCAGCACATAAGGCTTTATGAACTTGCAAAGGGAACCAGAAACACCCCTATTTGTGAGACAAAGATAGTAAAAACATATAAATAGGGATAGTTCCTCCATGTTTGGGCCCAAAATTTGAGAAACATTTTTGGTCAATACAGAAAGTGAGGGGAAGAGGGGGGAAAAAAGAATGGGGGGAGAGGGGGGACCTGGGAGAAGGGCCTTTTACTCTTAAGCAGAAAAGCAAGAGGGTTCAGTCTCCATGCTTGGCGGGACGAGGTTGCTGGCTACTTCTTAAGCTTCTCCAGAATATTCAGCAGCACAATTTTAAGACAGGTGTGTACATAATACCTCAGACCACCACCAAGCCTGCTCTTCAGATTGGCTGGGGGGTGAGGGTGTTGATGGCATCTGTACTTCATGGGTCAAATGTATAGGTTTACTTACTTTGCTTTGTCAATGAAGGAGCATATTCTAATTACTTGATAAACTAATTTTTACAATATAATCAAGTTTTTATATAAACCGTTCTCAAAACTGAAAAAAGATAAAAAATAATAAAAATAAAAAAACCCTCTGGCTTACAGTGTTTCTAAAACAGAAAGTGAAGTTCTATCCCTTCCTGTTCATTCAACAAATACTTCATATGCTCCTTCAATAATCACACAGGGATGGGTGTTTGTTTGTTTGTTTGTTTTGCTTAATCCTCGCCTGAGGACATTCCCCCCCCCCTTTTTTTTTGAGAGGGGGGGGGGGGAGAAAGACAGAAACTAATGTGAGATCCATCTCTTGCTGAATCCCAAATCAGGGTCCCGGATTGAACCTGCAACCCAGGTACTTCCCCTTCAGTCCGCCTGCAGAAGCACAATGCACTGAACCAAATCAGCACTTTTTTTCTTTTTAAGTCTTCCTCTAAGGCTATGTTCTTTTCATTGATTCTAGAGAGAGAGGAAAGGAGACGGAAAGAGAAGCATGAATCAGTTGCCCAAGCAATCTGACAGGATGGAACCCACAACCTGTGTATGTGCCCCACCTGGAATCGAACCCATAGCCCTTTGGTACATGGGGAAGACACTTTACTGATCCACACCGACCAGGGCCTGGAGGTACATTAAAAAAAATTTTTTTCTGATCTGCCCTGCCCAGGTGGCTCAATTGGTTGGAGTCTTAACCTGTACACCAAAGATTTCCTGTTGGATTCTAGGCTACACATGCTTAGGTTTAGGTTAGATCCCGGTGAGTCAGCAGTTGCAGAGGCAGCCTACTGGTATTTCTCTGTCACCTGAATGTTTCTCTCTCTAAAAAACAATTTTAAAAATATCCTCAGGTGAGAATTAAATATATATATATATATATATATATATAGATAGATAGATAGATAGATAGATAGATAGATATAGACATAGACATAGATATAGATATAGATATAGATATAGATATAGATATAGATATAGATAAATTTTTTCAGATAGAAAATTTTTCTTTCAATTTTATTTTTCACTTACAGTTCACATTCAATAGTGTATCTCAGTGTTCAGCAAACTGCGGCTCATGAGTTTGCCAACTGCTGCATGAGGCATTACCCTTACTCAGAAATTTTGACTTCAGGTTACAGACATTAGTACATTATTAAAATGTTTTTTAAGTGTTTTTCCCTAAGGCAAACTCATTAGTCAACAGAGCAGCAAACCATGGCTCCAGAGCCGCAGTTTGCAGACCATTGTTCTATCCTATATAATAATAGTAAAACCCTAATAGGCAAATATACCTAATGGTGGAACAATTGGTCACTATGATGCACACTGACAACCAGGGAGCAGATGCTCAATACAGGAGTTGCCTGGTGGTCCGTGTGCTCCATAGAAGGAGTACTGCTCAGCCAGAGCTGGACTCATGGCTGGTGAACATAGAGATGGTGGTGGGAGCCACTCCTGCCTCCACAGCAGTGTAGGACCCCTCAAGGGATGTCCAACTGCCAGCTTAGGTCTGCTCCCTAAGGATCATGATAGCCCACAAGCAGGGTCCTAAAAATCCACCAGTTTCTCAAAATGCCACTACAGTGACCTCAGGGTGTAGACCTCCTGAGGTGGGGTTGGAGAAAACTGAAATAATTACACACAAAAGTCATACCAAAAAAAAAAATGTCTAGTCCAAGGAATTAGTTCAATTATAGAAATGAAGTACAAATCATCATATACTTGGTTGAACCTCTTCAACCAAATATGTTTTACTTAATTGCTATAGCAAGAGCACTGTATGATCAACAAAATTCTGTTCTATTTTCCTACAATTAGAAGGGTATAAAAAAAATCAACAGTTTGTGCTATAAATGTCATCCTTTCTAGGACTATCTATGAAACTTCAAAGACTTTAGTGGCTCCCGTCCTCCAAAGCAGTATGTGAAATTCCAATAATGTCAATAAAAACTAATTAAGGAAACCATATTAAATATTATTAACCAGTTAATTGCCTTTATTATCAGGACTAATTAAAAGTAAATCCACACTATACTACAAAACTCTTCATAAGTAGCTGCTAGTTTAAAAAGAAATATGAAAAAAATAAAAAGAAATATGAAAAACAAAAATGTTTGAATATTCTCTAATTTCTACTTTTCAGCTTCAAACAGTTTCATCCAGCAATGTCTCTTTTTTTCTTCTTGAAACTGATTTTCTTCTCTATCCCTCTGAGCTTTGAGAGTTTCTTCCTCTCAGTTTTCTAGTTCTTTCTGTTTATCTTGCCAAGCTTCAAAAGATTGCTTACATCTTTCTTCCACTTCACAGTATTCAAAATTTATTTCACTGTCATCTGCAGTCATAAAGAAAGAGGTTATGTTTAAGACTAAAACTGTCAACAGTGATCTATTGTGAAGTATAAAAGTAATTTTGAAAAGAAGAAATAATTTCAACATAATACCAAAGAATAAGTGATAAAATAAAAATCCTATATAATAAAAGGGTAATATGCAAATTGACCGAATGGCAGAATGACTGGTCACTATGCAAGATCTGCCCCCTAGCGATCAGTAACGTTTTCAGGTGACTGCAGCCTTACTCAATATCTGATGCCAATGCATAAAATATCCAAGCAGGAACTGCTTGGCTAACCCAGTCAACCTACAGAATCATAAAAGGTAATAACAAATTGTTATTTCAACTCACCAAGTTTGTTTTGCAGTAATAACCAGAACATTTACTCTAACCCATAAAAACAAACACATAAACAAATACCCTCAATGGCTCTGATGTCTACAACTGGGAGCCCTAATCAATTCATTTATATTCATAAATTGAGTTAGACTCGGGCTTCTATTGTATGTTATGACTATACAATTGTATTTTTTTTAAATATGTACCTTTTTATAACTATATTAGTATATAGCCTACAGATTTTGCTCCTGGATGGTTTGTAATAATTCTATTGCAAAATTATTTCTAGTTTCGGAAGACATTTGAAAAGAAATCCATTTCCACCATCTTGCCAGATTATTGATGTAAAAATATTTCTTTTTTATTAATAAATACTGATAATTTTAATTTTCTTGGAAAATTATTCATTAAAACTATTAAATCTATTTGACTAGAGCTGTATAGGAGATCCTCTCATAATTTTCCTAAATCACTGCCATAATTGTAGTTATATAAACTTTCATATAACTAATCTAAACCAATAAAAGAGAAACATGCAAATTAACCATCTCTCCACCATGTCCACCAGGCAATCAGGAGGGAATATGCAAATTAGGAGGAGAAAAATGGGGGCTGCCCAGCTGCTCCAGGCACGTAGTGGCCAGTGGAGCAGGATGCCTGCTATGAGATGGAGGACAGGGGGCGAAGGGATCTTCAGGAGCAGCTGGCCACAGTGAAGACGAAGATGGCAGACTCCAGCTGGAGTCTAAAGCAAAGATGAAGACAGCAGACTCTAGCCATAGCCTGCAGCAAAGTCAAAAGAGGCAGACTAAAGCTGTAGCCTGTGGCAAAGTCAAAAACCACAGACTCTGGCGGGA